GCTGCAGGACGCGCTGGCGGCAGCTGCGGCGCGGGTGCTGGCGGACCCGGGGCTGCCGCGGGAGCTGACCGGGTGAGCGGGAATGGCGCGTGGAGGCTGAAGAGTGCGAACCCAAGCGGGGAGGCAGCTGCGGCGCTCGGTGCTTTGCTGCAGCCGTAGGCGGGCCCGGGGGCGATCCAACAGGCAGCTGGCCGCACTCCTCGGCCGCCTCGCCGACTCTGAATTATCTAACTTGCTATTGTGATTGCGGCCCACCTTCCATCTGATCGCTGCCACTTGTCCAAAGCCCCCACGTCCACATCACCCGCTGCCGCATCACGCAACGCAGGACGCCGTGCAACGCTGCGGCGCTGCTGGCGCGCACCCCCCTGGCGGATCTGAGCGGGAATGACCTCATCGACGCGATCTACAGATCACTGGCAGAGGGGAAGCGCCTGGATGAGGAGCAGCAGCAGCTTCAGCAGCAGCAGGCGGACGGCCAGCCAGCCGCCGCGTCAGACGGCGGGCGGCGGGCGGCGGCCGCCGTGGAGGCGTACGGCGACGTGGCCAGGGCGCTGGTGCAGCAGCTGCTCGCGGCGTGGTGGGCGGCGGCGGGGGGCCGCGCGCGCGACGAGCTGATGCTGCCCGGCACGCGCAAGGCCGGGCAGCTGCTGCAGTCTGTGCTGGCGCGGCGGCGCGGCGGCGGCCAGCCGCGGGACGCGGCCGACGGCGGGGGCGGCGGCCGCGCGGGCGTGCAGCGTGAGGCGGCGGCGGCGGCGGCGGCGGTGGCGACACCCGTTGAGGCAAGCGGGTCGTCGGAGTCTGAGCTGTCCGAGTCGGAGTTGAGCGACTCAGACAGCTGAGTACGTGGTGTAATCAAGAGTAGGATCACGGCTGCCCAGGGGTGACTGCTGGGGCCGCACGCCGCGTCAGCGGGGGAGCGCTGTATGTGGCAGAAAGCTGGGATGGTGGGAGTGGCCGCGGCTGTGCTTACAAGAAGTGACCAGCCCACGAGCCGCGGGCGATCCAGCTACAGAGTGACTGATGGGTTTCCTGTGTTTATACCCGCAATATCAGCCACCAGCAGCATAAACAACGAGGCCACATTGGCTGCAGTGAATCGCAATGCGGTAATGAGCAACAAGGCGTCTCCATGATACGCACTGAAGATATTGGCGCCACTGGTATGGCTGCTTATGTGGCCAATGGAGCAGTAGTTCGCAGCACCGCCCTACCGCCGCGGCCTTTTCCGCCGCAGCAGCTCCAGCTCGTCCCTGGCAGCAGACAGCTTCCTGCGCTGCTGCTGCTGCTGCTGCTGCTGCTGCTGCTGCTGCTGCTGCTGCTGCTGCTGCTGCTGATTGTGAACCTGCGCCGGCGCCGCCTGCCTCGACTTCTCACCCTCAGCCGGCACACCACCATTAGGCTGGCCCCCAGCCATAGAGGCAGCGTCGCAGACGTCAACGCCGGCGGCCCCACCGCCAGAGAGCGCCACTGCGCCGTTGCACGGCCCCTGGAGGCTGCCGTTGCCGTCGCTGCCGGGGGGCAGCAGCGGCTCGTGTGACCGGCTCCCGTCGCTGCTCAGGACGGCGCTCACCGCGCTGAATCGAACCCTGGTCTCGCGCTCCAGCCCCTGCTGCTGCTGCTGCTGCTGCTGCTGCTGACCAACCGGCCCGCCCCCACC